GAAAAAGCGCTTTCGTCCTATGTTTTCCATGGACCAACCCGGACCAATGACGTGGAAGAATTGTCCAAATATGACCTGGTGATCACCACGTACAGCATCGTCCTCAGTGAGCTGTCTGGACGCGGAGCAAAGCGGGGCGTCAGCCCTTTGACCAAGATGAACATGTTCCGCATTGTGTTGGATGAAGCGCACACAATCCGCGAACAGAGTGCAGCGCAGACTCAGGCCATCTTTAAGCTCAATTCCCAGCGGCGATGGTCCGTGACCGGAACGCCCATCCAGAATCGCCTCGAAGATCTCCTCTCGGTCACCAAGTTCCTGGGGCTCTTTCCTTATGACGACCGAGGGCGGTTCGGAATACACATCCTCAGTCGTTTCAAAACGGGCGATGCATCAGTGCTGGCCAGCTTGCGGGTGCTGGTAGATTCGTTCACGCTCCGCCGAGTAAAGGACAAGATTGATCTTCCGGCACGGCACGATAAGATCATCGTGCTCAACTTTACGGAGAAGGAACAACAGTTGCACGAGTTTTTCCGCAAGGAGTCCAACGTCATGATGCGGGTGATTGCCGGTGAAGAGCAGTCCAAGATGAAAGGTCGCATGTACCACCACATCCTCAAGGCGATGATGATCCTCCGACAGATCAGCGCTCACGGCAAGGAACTCCTCGAGCCAGACGACCGCAAGCGCATCAAGGGACTGAGCGTGCACGACGCAATCGATCTCGAAGAAGGCGCAGGCGACGCTGCCGGAGCCACCGACAAAAAGGCTTACGAAATGTTTACACTCATGCAGGAGACTTCCGCCGACACATGCGCTGTATGCGGGAAGCGCCTGGAGGAGCCAAACTCCGATAATGGCCCGGCCGACAGGCAAACAGCCATGGCGATTCTGCTGCCGTGCTTCGATGTCTTGTGTCCTGATTGTTTCTCGGGGTGGAAACACGCTTTTGACCGTCCGGTGGGCTCGGCGCATGACATCAAATGCCAGGTGTGTGATGGCTGGATGCCAGCCTCGTATTCCACCATCACGGTAGGCGGGCTGCAGGACTACCTGGTGGATCAGGCGCAAGCCAAACAGAGCCGACGACACGGAAAGACGCTAGGGGAGTACGAGGGACCACACACGAAGACCAAGGCGCTGGTGGCGCAGCTCCTGGAAACAGCCGAGGAGAGTAAGAGCCAGGGGCCCGGGGAGCGGCCGATCAAAAGCGTGGTGTTCTCGGCGTGGACGTCGCACCTGGACTTAATTGAGATTGCGCTGCGCGACAACGACATCAACGGGTTCGCACGGCTCGATGGGACGATGAGTCTGGCGGCGCGAAGCAAGGCGCTGGAGGAGTTTCACAGTAACCCGGACATCACGGTGCTCCTGGCGACGATCGGGGCCGGCGGCGTGGGTCTGAACTTGACAGCGGCGTCCAAGGTGTATATAATGGAGCCGCAGTACAACCCAGCGGCAGTGGCGCAGGCCGTGGACCGCGTACATCGCATCGGGCAGACGCGCGAAGTGACGACGGTACAGTTCTTGATGAAGGGCAGTATTGAGGAGAAGATCTTCGAGCTAGCGAAGAAGAAGCAGCAGCTGGCAGATTTGAGTTTGAACCGGGGAAAGCTGGACAAGAAGGAGGTGCAGGAGCATCGCATGCGCGAATACCGGAGTTTATTCAAGTGATGGTGATATACCGATGATTCCTTTATTCCCTAGTGAAGCACCACATTCACTAGAAGGAGATGCTGCGCTCATACTGATAATACTGGTTTGATACCCGAGAGGCGTTTGGTTGATTTATTGCATTCCTGGATTTTTTTCACCCTCATTTCATGCATCTGGATTTTGTTTTCCACCCATTCATTTGATCTCATTGATGTATGTCCTTTTCGCTATGTGATTAATTCCTTGATACACGATAGAGGAGAACGAAGGAAAGGAAAGGGAAGGAAGATAGAAAGACAAAGAAAGCTAAGCTAAGCTAATTAGAAGACGCAAGTCAACTCCATACTCCATATCCAGCCAACAGAACAACATAAAAGATACATTAGCATATAGTATATAGTAAATCTAACCCCTAGAATAAATCCCCCTCTCCACCACCCCCAAAACCCCCTCCAACCTCCTCCTCAACGCCCCCAACTCCCTCCTCCTCTCCTCCCTCACCCCCTCCACAACCCTCAACTCCCCCTCCAGCTCCCGAATCCGCCTCTCCTGCTCCGCCTCACTACTATCTATCCCGGGCAACACACTAATCAAGTACTCGATCTGCTGCTCCTTGATCACCAAATCCCGCGCCAACTCCCTCTGTCGCGCAGCAAACGTAGCGGGGCTATCCGGCGCAGGTAACCCTTCTGCTGTCCCATCTGCGTTCTGTTGCTGTTGATCTGCGTTCTGTCCCTGGCCCGGGGGATTTGTGCTGTCGGGTGGTGGCGGCGACGCTTGCGATTGGGATTGTGCTGCTTGGGGCGCGGACGCGGGCACCGGGGGTGTTGATGCGTTCTTGGGGATTTTTGCGAGGAGGGGTGCGGCGCTGGGAGTTGTGGATGTAGGCGGCGGTGTCGCGGGGATGTTGTCGTGGTAGGTTGTGAGGTAGCAGAGGGTCGCGTAGAATTGGGTTGCGAGCTGTGTTGGCGTTGGGTTGTTAGTTGGGTGTGGGTGTGGGTTGAGGTGGTATGGGGATGGTGTACCTGGTCCAGGCAGGTTTGGAGTTGCGTGAGGATGTCTGCCATTGTGTCCTCTCTCGTCTGTCTCTTGTTGGTTTGTTGTGGGTGTAGTGTAGTGGAGAGTAGTGTAGTTGTGAGAATTGTAGAACTAGTAACGACGATGGGTGATGGTGGAGGTGGAGAGTGAAGAAGTGAAATGACAGAGCTTAAGCTAATCTCCGCTCCCCGATAAGTTTGAATTCCGTCCGATAAACCCCAAAAACTAAATAAAGTATTTCTCCAACTTCTACTCTTCTCCTCTCCTCTCCAGGTATGTCAAGCTTAATTTACTCCGCCATAAATTTAGATAAATACTAACACTCAACTAACCACAGTATACACACACATCCAATGCACATCTACAGCCTTTTAATTATAAGAATAATGACAACACTATCCCCCCTAACCCGCCGTCTCTACAAACTCCCCCACCCCCCAATCCCCCCATCCTCATCATCCCACACCACACTCCCCTCCTTTCTCGCCCACGCCTCACGTACCTCCCTCCTTCCCACAAGCACAACCTACATCGGCACCCACTACGAATACACCATTCAATCCACCCTCCGCTCCTCCGCGCTCCTCCTCCACCGCACCGGCGGCCGCTCCGACGCCGGCACAGACCTCGTCGGAACCTGGCATCTCCCCGCACACGAACACCCGCCGCGCGTGCTCGTGCAATGCAAAGCGCTCAAGACGAAACTCGGGCCTAATATCGTTCGCGAACTCGAGGGCACGTTCGCATCGGCGCCGGTGGGATGGCGCGGGACAGGCGTCATCGGGATGCTGGCTAGTCCGAGGGAGGCGACGAGGGGCGTGCGGGAAGCGCTGACTAGGAGTCGGTTTCCGTTGGTTTGGTGTCTTGTTGGGCTGGAGGGGAGGGTGAGGCAGGTGCTTTGGAATGAGAGGGTTGAGGGGGTTATCGGGGATGGGTTGGGGGTCGGAGTTGTTTATCGTGCTGATGCTGGTGAGCAGGATGCGGAGGCGAGGGTGACGTGGGATGGGGAGGAGGTTCCGGGAGTAGACGAGGTGGTGGAGAGGATGGAGGTTATGCAGAGGAGGTGGTTTGAGTTATGGGGTGTTGGGGAGGAGAGGTGGGAGGAGGTGCTGGGGGTTGTGGAACGGTTGTTTCCGTTTGAGAAGCCGTTGTTGTATGCTAGGGATGGGAGGGTGAGTGGGTTGAGTGAGGAGGAGAGGGAGGTTGTGAGAGGGGAGTTGAGGAGGTGTCAGTCTACTGCATGAGTATAAAGCATAGTAGTTTAATGTATAGAATGTAATAGTAGTTATAGTATTGTCATATCAAGCCAGGGTATATCCGTAAACGCCGTCCAAAGTTTCCATCTCACACAACACATCTATCCCTGCATCGTCGACCAAAAGTAGTTCGAATAGAAGAACCGCGAGAACTTCGGGTCAATGTTCACCACATGCACATCGCCTTTGCGACTATTGCGGATCACCGCTTTGGTGAAGTTGCCCGCGTCGTCGGCCTCGATGTCCACTCCTAGGGACCGGTAGATTTTCAATCGCAGCCTAGAAAATAGTCAGCCACCGGATACTTTCAATGAGTTAGGTGGAAGACACTCACAGCGTCGCATCATCCATCTCACGCTCCCGGCGCGTCGGTTCATCGCCTTCCAAGCCCTGCGCTTCCAGATCGGCTAGTCGCTCCTTCAACATCTCCAGCTCGCCCTCTAGCCGCTCACTCTCAATCTCCAGCTCGGTAGCTGACTTGGCAATACGGAATTTCTTCGTGTCCAGCTCGACCATCTCCGCGGCGTGCTTGCCGGAGTCATGCGCCGTCACGGCCTCCTCATGTTGGGCCGTCAGGGCGGACAGGTGCCGGGAGAGCTTGCGCAGGGCCGATTCGGCTTCGCGCGTGCGCAGCTCACGCGATTGCTGTAGCGCGGCGAGCGAGTCATTAATGCGGGTGACGGCTTGTTTATCGGGGTGGATGTTGAAGTTGCCGATGGTGTGGTTGATGAGCTGGAGAGTCAGCAATAAGCATAATCAAGGGGTAAAAGGGACTTACACCAGCGGGATTCTCGTCGAGGAGCATGATGACGGTAAATCCAGGGCTATATACGTTGTAATGTTAGATATTGACCTTGTAGTTCTGGTAGCAATGGCAGCAAATACACTCCGGAAGTGGAGAGATGTTTGTTGTTGGAGCAACCGCCACCGCCGCACGCACCGCCACAGCGCGTGACGCCAGGCAGCCCCGGCCATGATTCCGAATCTTCTCTTGTCGCTGCCGGCCAAAAGTCTTCGTCTTCCCACCAGATACATCGAGATTTCTTCAGAATGGGCTCTAATCTTCCTTGTGAGTATTTCTCTCCCCGTTGGTGCTGGACCCTCCCCCTCCGCTAACTGCCTGCTTGCAGATGCCGCCGATGCTGAGAGGTCAGCGCTTTCCCCCCATCGAATACTCTACCAATACCCCAGAACTAGCGAAGCTAACCGGTGCACAGTCCGCTAAAGCCAGCGGAACTTCAGGTGCTCCGCGCCCAGTATGAGAAGGAAGGTGACTACGTGGGAATTCAGACCAAGTTCAACTACGCCTGGGTAGGGAGCGGCAGATATCCCGAGGCAAATCCATTCGGCTGACGGCATGTATAGGGTCTGATCAAATCCAACGCCCGGGTCGAACAACAAGAGGGTGTCCGTCTGCTGTCGGAGATCTTCCGCGCTGCGCCTGAACGACGTCGCGAATGTCTGTACTACCTCGCGCTGGGCAACTACAAGCTCGGTAACTACGGCGAAGCCCGTCGGTACAACGATCTACTGCGTGATAAGGAACCCGGGAACCTGCAGGCCGCTAGTCTAGGCCAGCTCATCGATGAAAAGGTGTCCAAGGAGGGCCTGATGGGTATTGCCATCGTGGGAGGGCTGGCGCTGGCGGCCGGCGTAGTGGGTGGATTGGTGATGCGGGGGGCAAAGAGACGCTGAGGGATGGCAGCGACTGTGAATTGATTGTTCTGGGTGCATGAGTGTAAATAAGGCTGTTCGGGTGTTTTTATTCTTGCATTGGGGCGTTCTGACAGCAAGATTGGATGCGTGATTAATGTTAATGGATGCTATCACTACTATTACTACTTTATCTTCAGCTGCGCCACAGGTGGCTAACGTCATCCCGAGTCGCTTCTTCTTTCCTGCTTTTCTCTTTCTTTCCTCCATCTTCTCTCCATTCTTTCTCTTGCTGTCATCTGATGTCGGTATCTTTTTGATATCTAACATATCTACCCGTCGGATGATTCCCATGCTTTAAGTCCTTGTCCCCGTCACGCCCGTGGCCCTTGTGGATGAACGAATGCGTGCCCAACGAGCCATGAATGACGCTGCATTGCGCTGCTGCTGCTGCTCTCGAACTATCAACCACCATCACCGCAACATCCCTTCTGCCTGATTGATTCGTCAGATCTTGTCTCCTGCACCACCATCTGACTAGTGTCTACGGTGACAACCTTCCACCCCACCTTTCTATCGTCCCCCTCTCATCCACGCCTCGTTTCGCCGTTGGATTCCGGATCGCCATGGCCGACGTGGGGGACCGCATGTTCTGCCATGCTTGTGGCGGCGTTTGGCTGCGCGAAGCTCAGGGCATGATCTGTCCGCACTGCGAGTCAGACTTTACTGAAATTGTACGATCTCTTCCGCTATCACTTCCATTCAACCCTATCTGACCATCCCAGATCGAAATCCCGCCAGATCCCGACGCCGAGCCCCCGCCTTCATTCCACCGACCCCCCTCGCCCCCCGCCGCGGCCAACGCCCGCTCCCCGAATCCATGGGCAGACCACAACCCCTGGGCACACCAGGAGGAGGATGATGATTTCGATCATGGCTGGGGTCCCGGACATGGAAATGGTTTCACCCATCGCACCTATCGGTCTCCGGACGGCCGTTTCACCTTCTCCACCACAACCTATACCCATGGCCTCCGAGGGGGGTCACCTCCGACTCAACAGCGACAGGCAAATCCCGACCCACTCATGCCGATGGTGCAGGGTCTAGATAGCATCTTCCATGGTCTTGCAAGCACCTACCGGCAGCAAAATCGCCCAGGCGGCCAAGCTCAAGCTTCAGGCACTGATCGCGACCGCGGGAGGACACTGGGATCTTTTGCCTTTGACATCGAGGCGGAGGGCCGGACCGGCACGCAGGACGGCGGTCTGCACCCGCGAGATGCGGATGGTCCGCAACCGGTTAATAATCCTCTGCGGACACTGGGCGAGTAGGTGCTGCCGATGACGTTGCTTCATATTGCAGGGCTAATGATTATCAGTATCTTGGAGCTGTTCCGCTCGGATTTCGGCACAAACACACAGGCAGGTGGCACTGGCGGCGTCCGGGTGATGACGGGGCCGAATCCCCTCGCCATGCTGTCCACGTTGCTAAACTTCGATCGTCATGGGGACGCAGTATACTCGCAGGAGGAGCTGGACCGCGTGATCTCTCAGCTGATGGAACAGAACGCCAACCGCGGAGCGCCACCACCAGCCCCGCCCAGTGCGATCCAATCGCTTCCGAAGAAGAAGGTTGATGAGGAGATGCTGGGGAGTGAAGGTCGAGCGGAGTGCTCGATTTGCATGGACACGGTGGAGCTAGGGACCGAGGTCACGGTGTTACCTTGCAGCCACTGGTTTCACTACAGCTGCATCGAGCTGTGGCTGAACCAGCACAACACGTGTCCGCACTGTCGACGAAGCATTGATGCGCCCCAGTAAGATCCCTTCCCTATGTTGCTTCATCACACAGACCCTTTCTAACAGCATGCAGAACTGAAGGCGCCAACAGTCCTCCCGGAAACAGACCAGCAGCAGAGGGCACAAGCGGCAACCCAGTAGTTATCCCCGACAGTCCGGAGCGCGAACGGACCCAGCCATCAGCAGCGCGAGACGCTGCATCACCATCGGGTTGGAGCTCACAGTCATTCTCCTCATGGTCATCACCCTGGTCGGGCTCAGAGGGCTCAGAACAACAACAACAACAACAACGCCGGAGTAGTCGAGGTGAGGGTTCAGGAGGGTTTACGGGGTGGGTGCGCAGTCGATTAGGCGGAGGGAGTGGCTGATGGACGAAATGGGAGCGAAGCATACAATTACATTTGGGAGATTGATGATTGATGAGGTGTATGTAGTAATGACTTGACTTGACTTGACTTGACTTCGCGGAGTTTGCTTGCTTTTTATTGACATGACATGACATGACACGACACGATGAAGATAACTAATGCACGCACGCATGCACACACACACAGACAGCATTGATACCTTATCTATACTATCTATCCATCTATGGGTTTGTTTACACTTACCGTTCGTTCGTTTAATAACTAGTTCAATACATTTAGTAACAATCTAACGGAATCATCACCCTAAAAGCCAAATTACCATATGTGAATTAAAGAAGAACCCCAATGGCATTCGATACTGGTATATGTACTAAAACTCTCTCTCTCTCTCTCTCTCTCTCTCTAGAATAAGCCAAAAAGAGTAAAACCGAAAACGATCAGAACCGAAAAATCTCAACTCGACTCACAAGTCAAAGTGGGTAGTAGTTCAAAGATAAGGATAAAAAATGATGAAACTTGAGACCGAAAAGACTTTTCTTTTTCCCTTCTTTCATTAAAACTTTTGCTTGTCACTTTTTGGTTGCAGGATTCCTTCATCGCTCTGATATCGTTAAGCGGAAAATGCGAGGGGGTTGTAGAGAGTCTAAACGGAAAAATCTACAGGAAATTCAAATGAAAAGGAAGAAAGTAGGTGGCAGTAGATGTCAAGAGGTATGATGGAGGACAAAGGATGAGGAGGAAGGAAAGGTGGTGATTTAGAAGCGCAGGTCCCAGCCGATCTTAGGACCCAGACGAGGCAGCTCATCAGCCACGCTCTGGACATCCTTGTCACCTCTTCCACTGAGGTTAAGGACGATGTCGCCCGTCTTCATGGACTTGGCGAGCTCCATGGCGCCGAAGACGGCGTGGGAGGACTCCAAAGCGGGGATGATACCCTCGGTTTGAGCGAGGGCACGGAAGCCAGTGAGGGCTTCGGCATCAGTGGCGGCAATGAACTTGGCGCGGTCGCTGTCCTTCCAGTTGGAGAGCTCGGGGCCGACACCGGGGTAGTCGAGACCGGCGGAAATGGAGTGGGTCTCGGAGATCTGGCCGTGCTTGTCCTGGAGGACGTAGGTGCGGACACCGTGGAAGACACCCTTGCTGCCGCCGGAGAGGGTGGCGGAGTGGCGATCGGTGTCGACACCGTCACCACCGGCTTCGACACCCAGGAGCTTGACGCTGGGGTCGTTCGAGAAGGGGTAGAACATACCCACGGCGTTACTGCCGCCACCAACGCAAGCGACGACAGCATCGGGCAGCTTGCCGATGAGAGCCTTCATCTGTTCCTTGGTTTCGTCACCGATGACAGACTGGAAGGTACGCACGATGGTAGGGAAGGGGTGAGGGCCGATGGCGGAACCGATGATGTAGTGGGTGGTGTCGAGGTGGACAACCCAGGCGCGGAGAGCCTCGTTGACAGCATCACGAAGGGTGCGGCTGCCGGCGTCGACGGCAACGACGGAAGCACCCAAAAGTCTCATACGGAAGACGTTGAGGGCCTGACGACGGACATCCTCGGCACCCATGTACACGACACACTCCATGCCGAACTTGGCGCAAACGGTGGCCGTGGCGACACCGTGCTGGCCAGCACCAGTTTCGGCAATGATTCTCTTCTTGCCCAGACGGCGGGCAAGCAGGATCTGACCGAGAGCATTGTTGATCTTGTGACTTCCGGTGTGGTTAAGATCCTCACGCTTCAACCAGATATTGGCACCACCGACATGCTCCGTCAAGCGGTCAGCGAGATGGAGGCTGCTGGGGCGGCCCATGTAGGGGTAGTAGGAGCGGTATTCCTCCCAGAACTTAGGGTCGTTGCGCGCCTGATCGAACCCGCGCTCGAGTTCGGCCAAGCAATCCATGAGGGACTCGGGCACGTACTGGCCACCGAACTCACCGAAACGGGAGGGAATAAGAGCAGGGTCGCCAGAGCCGTTCAGAGCTTCAATCTGGTCGACCAGGCCCGGACCAGCCGGGGTGTAGTCGTTGGTAATGACATCGGTGGGCTGAGAGAGGGCAGGGGGAGCCTCCTTCAGGACGGGGTCAAGCACGTTGACGGAGCCAGTCACCTTGCCCTGAGCATCTCTCTCCAGGCGACGACCGGTCACGCTGGAGAGGTAGTCCTGGGCATGCTTAGCCGCCTGGCCGGCAGGGGCGTCACCCAAGACGGTGATGATCTGGCTACCAATAACGACACCCTCGGAGATGTTCTGCACGGACAGGAAGTGCTCGCGGGTGCTAACACCAAATCCCAGCGCCGTAGGCACGTTTCCGGACCAGGTGTGAACGCGAGACAAGAGATCGGGCAAGTTCGAGCTGAGCTTTCCGGTAGCACCGGTGACACCCATTCTGGAGACGACATAGATAAAGGAATCGGCGATCTTGCAGAGAAGCTTCATACGGGACTCGGAGGTGGCGGGGGCAATGAGGGGGACGTAAGAGAGACTGCAGAAAATGTTAGACCAGCTACCCAAAGTTGCGCACACGATGCAGTCAAAACATACCCGGCGCTGGCGCAAAGATCTCTGAAGCGAACAGCCTCCTCCGGGGGGAGATCGACCATGATGAAACCATTGACACCGGCGTCCTTGCAGTGTTGGAGCATGAGCTCTTCACCATACTGCATCAGAGGGTTGTAGTAGCCCATCAGAAGAACGGGTGCTCTCAGACCGCGGCTTCTGGCGGTGCGGACCTGGTCCAGGACAAGGGGGATTGTCACACCATTGGCCAAAGCCTGGGTGTTGGCCTTCTGGATAGTAGGTCCATCTGCGATGGGGTCGGTGAAAGGGACACCCATTTCAATAATGTCTTGCAGATCACCGAAATCGATTAGTTCCCCTCCATGTTTGAGATGTTGCAAAAGGCGGGGTCGACAACATACCAGCACCACCATTTTCCAAGCCCATCAGAACATCTACGGTCTCCTCAACAGTGGGATATCCTGCAGTGAAGTAGGCGACCAGAGCGGCGCGCTTCTCCTGCTTGGCTCTGGCAAATGCATTCTTGATTCCGTCCATGGTGGCGGGAGGTGGGGGTGACACCCGGCGAGTGGTGGTGAAACAGTGAGGAACGGGGGAAGGAGTAGCGGAGGAAAAGGGAGGTAGGAGCAAGGTAAGGGACGAGAAGAAAGAAAAAGAGACCAAAAACGGTCAATTGGATAAGGACGTGGAGGGAAAAGCTGGGGGAGGGAAGAGAGAGTCGAGAAGGAGGAGAGCGGAAGAAAGTGGGTTTGAGTCACCGCGATTACTGAGTAATTACCGTGAGTGACGGCTGGCTGGTATTTTCCCCGCCCCGGTCAGGTGATGGTGGCGATAAGATAAAAATGAAAAATTACGAACAGGTACCGCTGGGTATGAAAATGTCGGATTACGGAATTGCGTCTGTCTTCTGGATTGGGGATCGATTATTAGATTACTTATGTAGTTGTGCACTCTTCCTCCTCCAAATGTCAAAGGGAAAGAAAAACAAGTCAGAAGAAGTAAGAAATAAACAGGATTATTCACAGACGCCGCAAGCTATGCATATATAGATCCGCCCCGATAAGCCCAGTCACCAAAATCTGGTGGCGACAGGGTCCTGTGAATATACTGGGAACCATCTCCTCCAAGAGACACACAATGACGGTGACAGGAGCAGAGGAACCCAGCAGCGGACAACAACAGTGATAACAATAACACAATAACACAAGGTGCACAAATCTGATCCCAAATCCCATTTCACACTTTTGATCCTTCGCCAATCCAGATGTCTGGTACATCAATCCCAAGTGTTATCCCAAACCTGCAACCTAGAAGGAACGACGGCAGCGCCATGCTATGCCAGATAGTTGTACAGCTTCGTAAAGGAGCGAAAGCCTCATGCCCACATGAAAATGCAACATTAATCCAAAGGAAAAATATAAAAGAAGAAAACATGGTTTAAATGGTGAAGAACGGGAACAGTTCGTCTATAATGCATCAAAGCAAAAAAGGATATCGGGCATCAAGGCATGAAGAAGGGTAATAGTATAAGGAGAGACATAAGATCATTCACAGTGATCATAAGAAAAAGATAAGTGGCAAAGTCCAGGAGCCTCGGGACTGAACTATCCTGTGCGAGGAGATCCCACAGGGCTCAGCGCCCAAGTCTCATGGCAAAGGAGTGACGATAATCAAAGAGGTATCAATGAGGTATGCAAGAAACACAACGCAATAAAGCGGGAAACCCAAACGCCAGTCGATGCAGATTACCAAGGAGGAACCGAAACGCGGGTGATTCAAGACCCGTGGGCCTGGCCATGCACGGAATACGGCATGGGAGCAAGGTAGTTGTAGCACGCGTTGCTGCTGGGGTTTCCGGTGGCTGCGGCAGAGTTGAGAAGAGGATTCAGCTCCCAAGTTCTGCTGTTCACAGTGGCTGTGAGCCCAAGTTGGCTCTGCTGCTGACAGACAGAAGGGTAAGAGTAGGGCGTAGCCAAGGCGGAAGAATAGGGCTGATTGACACTAGTCAGTCCGCCTCGCAGTTCCGAGCCGCCCGGCATAGAAGGGGGTGTATATGTCGAAGCAGCTAGGCTGGCTCCGTAGTTAGTTGGGGCAGCAGTATCTGACACGGACTGAGGCGACGCTGCATTCTGAGGCTCAGTGCCAGAGTCAGAGGCAGCGCCGTTGCTGGTGTAGTTCGATCCAATCGGGGTGGCCAGAGTTCCAGAAATCGAAGAGTAACTAGCAGACTAGATCGCCAACGGTTAGCCTTGTTCGGGATGGCTATGAAACGAACGAGTCACTTACGTATTTACCGATTATCTTCTTGAGGGCATGGCTGAGGATCTTCCAGGGGAAGACCTTCACGTCCTTCTCAATATTCCTGGGTTTTGGTGCGGGAAACCCCATGATGACTTTGAAAAAGTCCTCACTGTCAGCCTTGGCCTTGGACACTGTAAGTGGTCGGAAGCCTTCCAAGTTCCTGCGGATGCGGTTCTTCTCTTCCACCGTGAAACGGACTCCCACCAAGGACTCGAGCAAGTAGATGGTGTCAACGCTGGTAACAAAGCATTCGTCTTTCCCATCCCAGTAGATGCAGCTGATGCAGATACTATTAGGAGCACGGTCTTCAGGCGCCACAGGCTTGAAGTCTGCGTGGATTGTGCTGCCACTCTGCATCCGTGTAAATTGAACCAACCGACGCTTTGCCTCCCGCTCTTCTCTGGACCAGCTTTCCGTCATTGAATCGAGATCACCATTCAACTTCAACACTGCCTTCGTCGGGCACATAGCGTAGGGATTGAACGACTGCGTTTGACCATATGCGCCCGACTGTTGCAACGTCGACGTCCGAATGAGTGTGGGATTTCCGTACCTGCCTGGTGATGCTTGGCTTTGCTGACGCAGAGGATGGCCGATAGTATAAGTAGTGCTTCGTGCATCGTTGCTGACCGCGAGGAACGACGGGCTGTATGATGGAGTGATAGGCGATGGCGCCCGGATAGACGCTTGAGACGTGCTAGATAGGCCGGGATACTGGGTTGAAGGAACCCGCGGCGATGCCGCCGTGTGGTGTGGGCTGACGAAGCTATTCATTGCGGGCAGAGACTGCAGATACGGTGAATAGGTCGCGGAGGATACGCTGGGCGACTCCTTTGCATGCATTGGTGGGCCGGTGACTCGTTTGGGTGCCCTGGAGAGGGGTTCGTCCGCGTATGAAGGCACCCTCCGCTTGCGAGACTCGTCGGAAGGGGACTGCATCGAAGCATGTTCATAGGTATAAACTCCCACTTGTAGTGTGACTGCATGGCAGTCATTATGATCCATGAACACTTGCAAGGGAACTGCGAACGATGGAGAGCCCGTGGAGCTGAAAGGGGGGGTATCGACGGAAAGTGCATATTGAAACGAAGCACCCTGGAAGCCGAGGAAGTGAGGAACACATTCGCACTTTTTCGAGCCGAAAACCAGATAAAGAGTCGCATAGGACGATGAGTGGAGGTCATATGGCGATTGAATCTGGACGAAGACCCTGGTGCCTTCGGAGCCTCTCTGGGGGGAATAGGAGACCACTTCCGGTATTTGGCGATTCTCGGCGGCCAGCATTGGCGAACGACCCTCTTCGTAGGAACTCGCATACTCTCCGTTCGCCATGTAGGGCACACAGTCCGAAATCTGGCTTGCGTGATCGGGCATGGGGGAAGGAACCAGCGTCGTGGCCGTCACATAGGGTGCCTGGCCATAGCCTTGGTACGGAATGCCATCATGCAGAGATCGAGCAGAGTCGTAGTCTAATCAGGTTGGGTTAGTGTCAGCGTCTTACAAAATTCAGACGCAGTGGGTGTTCCCTAGGGAACCCTGGACCAGCCATGCCATGTCCATGAGGCGGAAGGAGGGAAAGGGGAAGTGGATGTATCAGTGCTTACCGATCAACGCCGCGTGCGGGGGCTTCTGGAAAGTAGACATAGACAAAATGGGCTCAGACTTGGCCAGAAGGCCGTCTGAAAAAGCACCGAGAAACTGTGACTCTTCAGGATCCGAAAAATCCAACGACTCGTCTAGAATTAACGGTGTTTGTAATTCGGGATTGAACTGTAAAACGCCCCCCGGGTCAGTTCAGTGTCCAGGGTGTGTGAGATGGTGGGTGTGACTGCAGGAAAAACAAGGCTGGGGCACTCGGCAAGACAGTGGATGAATCAGAATATCTGATTCAGTCAAAAAGCAAGAGAAAAATGGGAGTGAACCGAAAAGCAATTGGGCAGCGAGCAGGAAAACTGGACTCACCAAAACACCGTGCGTCTTCGAGTAAGCCAGTTTGAAGGTGTTGCAGAAACTGCAACGAAGCACAACAGCTTAAAAAAGCGAATGACAGCGAATTTATCCTGGAAAAACGATAGGATGTCGGAAAGTCTCTAGCGAGCTCTCCGAGACAAAACGAATGACGACACGAAGTGGCTGTCAGCCCGGACGAGGAAGATGGCACGAAAAGCTTCGAATCAGCGATCAGGATCCGACGCCTCAGGGTGAAACCACGAAAGGTTGGCTGCAGAATAGGAACCAGTGGTGAGCCACGCTGCCGATGAATGCTTTTGATAACCTATAAGAAACCTGCTTCCATCTGATGGCGCTGTTTTAACCTCACGCGGCGGGCAGGTTGGATGGCAAATGTCCGTGGCAGACTCTGGACGAAAGCGAGCGAGAACGAGCCGGTCGAACTGAAAAGAAGACCTTTTTCGCTTTGTTGGCGTTTGTGGAAGCGAAAGTGTTTCAAGATTCCCTCAGGATGATGAGGACTAAGAGTCGGGGCACGAACTACCCAACTAGTGAGTACGAACCCTCCCAAAAGGCGAGGAACCGGCTCGCTGCATAGACCAGCAAGACTTACCAGGTGAGATGAAAAGACAAGAGATGCGTCTCTGAGGTCTTTTGAAATCTAATATGCAAAAGAAGTCACGGTCCCTAAGCGACTAAACGAGATAGTCTACACCTTGACGGGGGCGGGTTAACAACAAACATCCGGAAGTTTAGTGACGGAAACCATACAAGGGGAGGTGACAAGCGCACGGAACCCATCGTGGACCCTAATTTTCCTTGGGGATCTTGTGCGGCAAAGGCACGACCTTGGAGAAGCAAGGAGTACAGAGGGAAGGGGACACGAAGGAGAGTGATGCAAGGCACCAACAGAGTCTGTGGCAAAGGGAGAGGAGGGGGTTGGCACCAACCTTAACAGACCAATGACTTCAGCACAGGGAGAGGCTTCGTCAGTAAACGCAGCCTATTTGAGATATTTCCCTGCTAGTTTGTAATAAGGTGGTGTCCTCAGCCGAGACAAAGATCCACGATGGTTTGAGTCCAGGTCCGACCTCGTGTGAAGGACTACAGAGACAAGGTTGGCAAGAAGGCTAGCTGACGATCCACACTCTTTTTTTCTCTTCGGAGGGTAAAATTGAGACAGATGAGCGAATGCGGACACTGCAATCAAAGGTGATTTTGCTGAAATGGGGAGGGCTGTTCGGCGTGACGAGAGACGGGGGGGTGGTTCGATGATCGTCCTTCCGCTCAACAAACGGAGATCGCTCTATAGATCCGGCGTATAAGGGACCAGGCAAACGAACAGCTGGGGAGGAGACCACACGACACGGAAAGTAGATGGCGTCCAGTCAATCAGTGGCTTTCCCGTGGATTTTTGGTTGCTTCGGAAATATTAAGACACTATTGTCGAAAATAATAGAAATAAAAAAAATATTCTCCCCCTTCTGGTCGGATGGACACGGAGCCAAGCTTCGAGGCAATTAAACAGAGATATAGCGACGGTTGTCGAACAATCAGCGAGCGCGTAGAGTCCGTGAGGATGAGATATTAGGATATCCAATAAGTCCGATCAGTTCCCAATGCGGCTTGCCAATAAATGCTTCTCTCCTTCGTCAATATATTTTTTTCTCAATTTCGGTCCTTCTCTTATTTCTTTCCTTCTTCGTTGATCAACACAAACGTAGCGAACGTAATGATACTTCCGATACCAAACAAAGCGAGTGTAAGGCGAACGTGGGACGAGCGAGTGGAAGTGTAAATAATAAAAAAAGAGAAATACAAGGGATACTTTCACTGTGCCATCACAGAAAAAGTGAAAGGGGAAAAGGTGGGGAGAGGAGGAGGGAGGGAGGGGGGGAAGAAGAGAAGAGAAGTAGTAGTAGTAGAAGGAGGAGAAGGAGGAGGAGCAATAATAGTGGAGGGAATAAAAAAAGAACAAGAGTGACCGTCAAGTACGAGATGACGAGAGATATATTACTTTTCCCTTCAAAGCAATCCGCTTTGAGCCGAGGATGCGGTGGTAAGAAACGAAAGAGCACTGGGCGACAATAGCCTTAGTGTGGCGGGGATGTGCTGGTGGGAGGATGGAAAGGGAAAATAGTTAGATAAGTAGGAAGTAGTAGGGATCAGGTTTGCAGGGCCGGGGGTATTGTTGGAAAACAATTCAATTTGATCCCTCGAGGTTAATGGATCCCGGAATGATATAAATAAATGACGATTGATAATAGTAATGAGGATAAGAGGAAGAAGAATAATAATAATCAATCTTTAAGGGAACTCCGTCACCGAGGAAGATCAAACGGCGTCTTTTCCTCTCTCGCGTGAGTGTGTGTTGTTATAATTATACCTGAGGTTGTTCGGGGAATCATAACACCCTGAAATCTGAAGACCAGACCAAAATGGCTGGTTGGCCTAACTGGATCTTTTTTCTCCATCGTAAAAGTCCCTGGGCTGGTGGTGGTCCTCCACATCTCTACCGCTAGACTACCAGTCCCATGGAGACCTTAGTACCGTCCCATAACCCTTTGAGATGGGTTTCTTTTACGAACTTTCCGATCCTCCTTTGACCAGGAACCACTCAGCATCGGATCGGGTCACGGGGAAAGCTTCAAGGATGGGAAGGATGGGAAGGCCGTGAGAAGACAATCCCCGCTCTCCAAGGGTAGAGGGGGGAAAAATCAGTAATTCAAAAATAAAAGGGTGCTTTTTTAGAAAATCTTTTTTTTTCCTTGCTCGTTGACCCTTCACTCTATTTTCTCGTCTAGTTCAATTTTATTTTTCCTAATTTTTTTTTATTCCTTTTTTGCTACCCTCCGTCTTTGCTAGGACAGCGGCCCTTCACTAAGAGGGGAAATCCTAAGTGGAGAGAGTAGGGAAGTTCTTAGTCCAGATAGGTTTAGTTAGCTTCAGGGCTAAAAGGTCATGAAGCCCAAGAAAGTAAGAAACGTTATGATTATTTTTATTCTCGGAAGAGGAGATTCTTATTTGGTGAGAGGAATCCCACCATTGGGTATTGGGTGAATAATCATCCAACTCCCTCCCCAAATAAATCCAGGGAAGAGGCGCTAAACTGGCTAGCAAGGGTGTTAGCAAAGAATAGCAGCAGGCACCGTTCAAGCGGTCCATGCCGCCTTGACCGGTGGATCCTCCCCCCCAAGGGAAAAAGATCAGGGCTGCAGAAGCCAGTGGAAGAAGGAGGAGAGAGAGGAGAGGAGGGGTGGGAAAAAGGCAAAAAAGAGAACTGGTTTCTGGTTCCCGTTATTTTTACCTCCGTAGTAACTTTGGTTTTACTGGAGATTCCTCCGGCCCTATGGGATTCAGATTGGTAACAGATGGTCTCCATCTACGCTGCAAAGTATGACCTGCGGCGACTGTACCATGTTTTTCCAGTCATTTTCCATTCTTCCTAAGATCCTCGTTGGTGGGGGAAGGGGGCGATGTTCACCTTTTTCCGTTATTTCCTTGGCCTTTCGGGAGGCCCTGATACACTGACTGATACGGGGCCTAAGAATAATACTGGATCCCCCCGGGCAGCCACCCAGCCTACCATCATAACTGTTCCGCAGAAAGTTTGGGCTAAACAACCTCGTACATCTGGCAGGATGAGCTGCCCTGTCACGGTCCTCTGTATCCAGTAAAAGGGTCAACTGAAAAGTAGTTGTTGTTTAGTTCTGTGCTAATTCAGTAAGATATTGTACTAGCAGTAGCAAACTTTAACCGTCACAGTCATGTCCTCGTTGTTACCGTTTTCTGCGTTTTTCCATATTACTTTGCCCCGTTTCATGCATCATCTCTCGACCTCTTGTCCTCATGACTACCATTACTACTTCTACTGTCTAGTCCCCCTATGACATGGTTTTTTATTTCATTTCTTTCCCAGGCTTATCATAAGAATTTGCTGTCTCAAGACTTAGGCGAACCGGCTCACCTTCTCGAAAGAGTTGACAACCGGAATCAAAGGATAGAAAGCAACTCCCACTAGCAGTCCTTCCAATCAAAGTTGAAGAAAACCGACCTAGCAGGAGGACCCTTCGTGATCCGCGGAGTCCTCTTGATGAGATAATAGTAGCGGAAGTTCTTAGTACGATCGAAGCTGTCTACCGAGGTAAGCAAACCAATTGAGTAAAGAGGAAGCAGAGAGGAATCGGAGCGATCGTGAGTTCGTGACATATTATTAGCTCTCGCAAGGTCCCCCACCCCTGCCCCCTTTCCCGAATAGGAAGTAATGTTGAGCACATTCAGTGCCAACTCAAGGAACCTTTGCCCGATTGGGAATTTCTTAATTTGGAGCCCTCAGGCAGCAGTGACCCGCCGAGAGTAGACCGTTTTAGTTTATTGGCTGCCCCCTCCATCAATATCCCGTTTGGGAATGCTCCGTTCTGGGTCTGGAGATAAAGCCTGATTCAGCCTCGCAGTTCCAGTGATCGGGTCCAACTTCTGACCGATGTTCCGAAGAAGACTACCATGTCCTATCTTCCGTACGTAGTTGAGTATCAAAATTATGTCCTAATTAACTTCACAGTATCTATTTCTTTATCTCTCTTATGCGTGTTGGACCTGCTTAGCTAACTTGGCACTCAATCTTTCCTCTCTCAACCTTGCACTGGCCCCAAGAACAAGCCTTCCTCCCCTTCTACATTCCCCGCCCACGGCTCGGCGTGTACTCCCTGACTTCCGACTGCTCAATACTTTGTTGTAGTCAATACTTAGTAGACAGTAGTAAGTAGACTCACTGTATTCATAGCGGATTCGTTGATTACTCCATACGCTACCATCATCTCATGACATCAAAGCTCAAACATCAGACTCGCATGGTTCGCCAAGATTTCTGGAAAAGTTAATTGCTGATTGGTCTACGGGAGTACCGTCGTATGTCTTCTTCCACATGTTTGATCAGTCGGAGAAGTAAGAGCAAGTAGTAAGTAAGTACTATTACTAGTCATAAGAAATGGTGTCAGGCCAACTGCGAGCCCGCCCGAGCGTGCAGGGGAACGCTTCCAGAGCCAGTCACAGCCAACGATTCCGTTGTTCCGTGCCTTCCTTCCTCCATCACTCCACATTGTGGCAGCGCAGCGGCTGACCTTTGGTTCAACTGTGCTTTACTAGTTTTGTCTACCGAGATCATCCACTTCCAACGGCGTCTGAATCCCCAGCCTTTCGGCTTTTGTTCTCTTTGGTAGGCAAGGCGGATAATTTGCCTTCCAACAGATATCTGGTCAACTCGGTTGAAGCGGTTAACGATCAAGCAAGGTGTGAGTTAAAAATGCACAGCAAGGTACATGCACAGCAGATAACACACTATTTTTCACTCTTGTTGACAGCCAGTGGGATCGTGGGATCCTCGAACGCGGGCATGCAACCACCACCGTGAAGTAGCTATCTAGCGGCCGATCTATCTGAGGGAAGCGGTACTTCTAAGATGCTAAACATAGCAAACCTTGCATTGGCTCCCACTGGAAGAAGTCATGCAAGGGTCGGACATGGCCGTATCATTGGTGCCAGAAGAGGGCGGTGTGGATCCCCTCCCCTCCACTGCCACTCAATTTCACTTTACTTTTAGTTTAGCGCATGAAAAAGAAAGAAGGAAAGGAAGAAGGAAAAAAAGGTTTCCGCTTCTTCCTCCAGGATCCTCCGCTTAAAATAATGTCGGCACTTGATTCGCTCACAATTAAGTCCGGTGAGTGGCACGATGGGAAGCACCGAAAGGCTATTCCCCTGGTGGTGGTAAGGTAGCAGCATGGTAGTACTACCTTTGCTACCACCTCCACTTGCAGCAGAGCGACCCTGCATTGTTACCACACTGTGAGCCGTCAGTGGACGCTTCTCGCGGCTGAGCTGCTGAGACCTGGCCAACCGCCATGAGCTGATCATCCCGGCCGTCATCGTGGCCTCGGGCGTTCAGCTGGAAACTGCTTATCCCGGTTGCTTGCCCTTTCTCGAGAACAGGGATGGAACTATTGATGTTTAATCAAACTCGCCGTAGCACCCCCCAACCACGGACCAACGCTGGGGTACAGCCTATTGCTTAGGATCTAATCATCGTAAGGCCGCCCGATGTGATCATGCTGACGGTCCCGGATCGAAGATGAGGTCATGGCGGTGTTCCACGGTGGTCAAGTCATCCACGCTATACTCAGATCGACGGGAGTCAAGAGGAAACAAGCCTGGGCAAGCTGTGCACTAGTTTCCTATGAAGTCATGTTATCCAAAAAGCCGAGCGTTGTCGATCTTATTCTCTTGTGGACAGCACATCGTGGCTCAGTCTTCCTGGGTCTTGTTGCGGAGGTCCTCCGTACTCCACGTTTGGTAAGAAATAGGTCTCAAACTTAGATGATACTTGCCGTGAATCCTTTCAATGGTCTTCAGGGCTTCGGGACGACTGCCAGAACTGATTGACTTCCGAAGACACTGTCAATTGTGTCATTCCGAATTCCGAGTCATGGATGTCGGGCTTTGCGCCGGTTGCTCAAATACGGGTGCTCTCTAAACATACCGTGTAGCGGTGGTCACTGTAGGTACATACTACCAATGACCTGGCACTGTCCCTCACAAACAATACTATCGGACAGCCGTTGATCGCCATAATTCATCTCATGCGATGTGACGACATGACTCCCAACCAGGAGTCGCTTCAATCTCAAGAAATTAACCGACGCCGAATAAAGTTCGTCGTATAGATCGACCCAAAGGCAGTAACTTGGCGGATCATCGTTCGGCGCACGTTGAGAAGCACGCGCGCTCGCCATCTTACAGCAACTAGTGTATCCGTACCTACCTTAGTCACCTTGCAATTGCGGGCGAAAAGATTCTCAGCAGGCATTGAGACTATTTACTGGCTCCTATCCAGATATGCCAAAGGGAAGCTGTGGGCCCCTACAAAGATAGCATGATTAGCCCCATGGAGATGATTCGTCCCCTAAGCTATATACAGGGATGATCAGCAGTCGCTGTCCACAATAGTGCGCATGGCTTGTCCCTGATTGGAATGGGCGACCACAGTGGTTTGCTTGCGCTCATGTTCGAGAAGAAAAGGGAAAAGTGGTCTGTAGGACCATGGTTTCATTGCCACGAGGGATGGTTTAGTCCTTCAACCTGACATGCGTTTGCATGGGGTCGAGGTGAGGCAGGCAATACTACCCCTGACTGTCAAATGAGGACATGAGTGCAATGAACTTGCTAGTAAGAGTACTACTACTCATTTCACAGGTGTCTATTTGAAAGATATATATCCCAAACACCGGCATATGAGCTATCTGTTACTACAAACCTTCTTCAATTAACCCGAAGCCAAGCCAATTACAGTGTCTTGCATGTTGACCTCCGAATCTACTCCAGCAATTCTACGAAGCTTTCCGAAATAGTAGATACTTTGTATCAACTGCCTTAGACGTCGGAGGAAGGCTCGGCATTCCTGAATGCTTTCGCTACAGGGCAAAAGGACACTAGGACAGAGGTCGGCCAATGCTCGGGGAAATCCGCCCGCGCCCGACCGAGTGACCGGCCAAAGTTTCAACAAGCGGACGGACCACAACCTCAAAAGGACAAAACAAATTGGCTACTGCCTAGAATTGATGGCAGAGTTTCTGTGCCCTTCATCGTTCAAACTTCAGGCTAACCCAGTCGATCAAGGTATGGAAAATCCCGCAGTCCATCGGGGCTGTTACTAGTCCACTGACCATGCCAACCCCGGCTGCGCGCTAGCCGTCCCTTAGTGGGCATGGTATTCGGCCGGTGTAGTAAGTTGTGCCGTTAATGGGCAGCAGGAATCGACGGGTAGATGTTATTGCATGTGTGCTAAGAAAGCATTCTCTGTGCGTGAGGAGTATGATCGTCAACCTTTGCATCCGAAAATCTGTTTCAAAATTGCAAAGAATGTGGAAATCTCGGGCAGTGCAACAGCTATCTACACCGGCGGCATCCTCCGCCTGAGGATTATCATTAACAATCATTATTCAGTCACGGTTCATGATTGAGCCCTGAACTCCGGAAATCATTCAATGGTGAAATCCACCACCACCGGAACATCACCGGGGTCAACCGGAGAAATCCTACGAAGCTCCACTTTCCCCCCCATCGACTCCGTCTACGGAGTAGTGCGAGCCAGTCAATCCTAGCGGCTCCGAACCTCAACCCAAGGAACCAACCGGCGGCCGGTCAACAAGGAGGTGAATCTTCCGGAAGCATGATGGAAGTGGAACGGTTAGCAGCGATGGACCCATGGGTCCCAGCGCGTGGGAATTTACTTTCTACCGAGGAAGCGTGGTGTCGTATCTTCTCCGTATTTTCGGATTCGGAACGTCGTCACTATGTGGAATGGAATATTTTTTAGACCAGCTACTATGTATGACTTTGCGGTGATCATCAATCATACGATGGGCGAGTGATGACGCTCGTTCTTTCGAGCAGAGAAAGGAAGGTGGTATCAACTATTGTGACCAAGACAAGTGCATCTGTCACATCTTAGCAGCACCCCAGTCCCCAAGCAGCCGAAGCACAAGAACCGCAATTAAGCATTCAGGGTCTTTTAATTGCGGTGGGCAATCAACCCCGGCTCGGCGTGTCAGCTAAAGTGATGAATAGCTGGAAGGCGTCCAATTCCCGGCCGGCTCTTGGCACCCACCCGGCACCACGACAAATGGCAGTCTACGCTTTCTCACAGCAGTCAGATTAAACGTGCTCTAGTTGATTCTAGTCGCGCCTTAGTTATCCCTGTTATATGTTATGCTGCCAATCTAACGGCCAGCATGCCGTCATTGTTTATTACCTAGTGGATGATGCTCCATACACAGCACACCACTGTCATCACAGGATCTCAAGACCCAGCACGGAGCCCCGAAGGAACACACACACAACCTGCCACCCTCTCACGAGGCACCAAGCAAAGACGCATGAAGTTTAATTTTCATCTGCAGGAGACAGACTTGGATTGGATCGTCCTTGCATCCTCCCGTCTAGTCTAAACCTTGGTCTTTCTGTGTGTCGATAATCAATCTACCCGGAAGTCATGACTTGACGTAGACCGGTCCAGGTACATCATTTGAGAGTTTACACCCTTACTTGGACATGGGCTATCAACCGTCCATCCGCCCATTACCCCTTGAATCAGAGAATAAAAACCCTCAAATTGATGCTAGGGTTATCCCACCAAACCCTGATATCGGAAATTAAATGCGCCAGCAAGTACTGTTGAATGCTGGCATACCCACCAGAACCACCCGGATAATTTCTTCCCTTATCCATACTCATTTCCAGCTGCACGGGATACGCCATATGGGAAGTTAGGAGCAGCAGACAGGAAGAAAGGTAGCACAGAACGAGGGACGTCAAAATTTGCATGCAATAACAGGTCTTAAACTGCACGCGCCGTGCATACGCAGCAAGTAAGTAGAGTCCGGCCCACCCAGAGCGGACGGACAGATAGACGGTAAGAAGGTTTTTTTTTTTGATCGGCACGTTTTGGTTGGGGATGAGCGGGATGTTGATCATGGTGGCTGGTTATGGTTATCTACACACTAGACAAACACAGCAAACCGAATACCAATATCTACGGAGTACTCCGTAGTAACCAACTAAGATATATCTAATTTTAATTTTACTTCATATTTTTTTCTCACTTGTTTCACCTGTCTTAATCCTTTATCCGCAAATTGATGGAGCAGTGCACTAGCTAAGCATGTAGACAAGTAAGTCAAGCAGGGAGGAGACATGTCCGCTTAGTCAAGAAGTCAGAAAGTCTCTTAGGTTAACTGAACTATCCATCTAGATGAATCCTAACTAGTCATTTAACTTGTCACCTTACTTGACTTGCCAACTATTAAGTTAGTTAGTTAGCAAGGCTTGGCCTGGTCTATTTGTTCGTTTGTTTCTCCTCAGCCAGCCGCACTCTATCCTTCCCCCATTTAGCCAAGATAACCCATTCTACTCATAGAATAGTACGGTACTTGTGTCTCATATACGATTAAAAAATAGAAATGAACCCAGAAAAAAAAAGAGAGCTAAATAGCTACGTAGGTAGTGAGAAGTAAATGAAAAGAAATGCCGACCCAAGCGCTCCCCCCACAAACGAAACACAACACAACAACAACCAAACTAAACTTAAGTGGCAGTAGCCCGCCCGTCAATCCATTTCCCATCCAGGCGCAACCCGAACCCTAATTGCAAACCGTAGTATGTCTCACCTGTAGTCAGGTCACGGTCTACCCTAGTTGGCTGGTTGGTTGGTTGGTTTGGTTTGGGTGTCGGTCTGAGTTACTATTTTATAATTTTTCATGTTTATTTTTATTTTTTTTTTCCACTTACTTTGTGCTTGCTTAGCTTTTGGTTCCATTTTTTTTTTTTCCCTCACTCTCTTGTTTGGTATGGGGAGTTTTGTTCTTGATGCTAATTTAAGCATATGCTATTATAGTCTGTCGGTACCGAAGTGACTAACTACTGTGCTACTGACTTAGACTGACTGGCTTTTGTGGGTATTTGGGGGAGGGAGTATGGAGAGTTACTATAGTATGGTGTTGTACTTGCTGCCGCTACTGCATGGCAGTATAGTATACACATAAACTAAAGAGGTAGAGAACATCTGGTGGTGGTCACCACATACATCACAAGTCCCATCATTATAGCTTCAAACAAACAATTAGCCACACATTCAATCTATCAATTTCTCTATCTCCCGTCAATACCATATACTACGGTCGTTATTCTCACCCCTCCAAGCATAAAACACCTAAACTAAAAGAAAAGTACAGCCGTTGCCCCGGTGTGGCTGTGCACTGCCCTACCGAGCTACGTCCCCCGAATTCCAACCAGTAAATACACTCCATCCACCCATCTATCACAAAGTAAATCAGGGGCTCGTGAAATGCGGGATAGGTCCGAAACAAGTTCAACGTAAAAGTGGCTCCTTAGCAAAAGCAGACCAGTAGTCTACTGATGGATGAATACTACCTACTACCCTACTAGGTAATACCGGAGCTAAGTAGTTCTGGTTCTGACTGTGTAGAGAACAGACCAGAATAGAGCAACCCAAAACCTCGGGACGAGCAGTGTGGAACTTGGCTCCAATTTACTTGGACAGAGCGTTAACGGCGTTCTCCGTATATACCAGTACCTAGCTGACTTCCATGTGGCTACTAGATGTCTATCAGGAGGAGTAGTGATGTGCAAGTTTTACAAAGTACAAGTGGGTAGGTGGATAGCATGGTTTCCTAGACATGGATAAATATACTCCGTACCTACGTTGTAGTAGTAGTAGCTATGTCTGATACAGAGTATATACCAATCCACCAAACCTTGGAACAAGGTAATAAAAAACTAGTCTATACCAGTTAACACCCACCTAGCTAGTTAGCATTAGATGGAATCTATGTGCTAATTGAAGACAGAAAAAGTGGCGTATGCCTCAGCTTGAAACATCTGCGCCACTTACTCCTCCATGCTCACTCCGTTATTTGAAGTTACTATTATGTTATGAGGTGGGATAGGGTACGGAGTATCCGGGATTTGCTCGTGCACGCACACTGGACGGGATCTCTTTCTTCTGGAGGATGATGTGCCGACAGGGCTGCTTCACTAGTCGCTTCGCAAAGCATGTCTGTGGTTGTGGTTGTGATTGTGGCTGTCTGTCTGTGTCACTCGAGGCTCAGTAGTCCCGGGACGGATGCAGTGCACGGGCGAGATGGTAGCCAGTTGACAGGTTTGGGTTTTAGGTGGTGGTAGTAAGGTTTGGATAGGTAGATTGACTGCCTCGTGGGTGTGTACTACGTTTGGGATAAACATGTTGGTACTATTAGTAGTACTTTAGTAAGTACTAGTTCCTTATATGTCAAATAAGTTCCATGTTGGGTTCAGGATATATATTCTAGTCGGGTTGCTAGTACAGCGATATTACTACGTAGTAGTAACATCATACTTCCAGATCAGAGACTCATCTCATTATTTCTGGGCTATGCCCTACTACACAATCCAGTCTACAGATCCTAGTTCCCATGTTATGTTTTAGTGGTAGTAGTGGCGGCTATTCTCACCCCCATAGTGCAGCCTCTATCGTATATAGCCTTTAATACTCAGGCTATTTAGTGAGACATGGGCTATCCATTCGGTAAATGCACTCTCCTCAACCATAAACTTACCACGTCAAGCTGAACACCTCAACAAAAGTGGGATATCCAAATCCCACATACCAAGTTCGTACATCTTGCTACAGCTCATCCATCCCCTAAGACTAGGATCACCAAGCCCCATAGACATAGACCCATACCTCCCTACTACTACGTAGCAGACTAGTATGTGTGCATACGCACTGCATCCATCCCAAACCCCCTATTCACCACCCACCCCACCACCAGCTGAACAAAGTTTCTGGGATGTGATTCACTTCACTCGGATCCAGAGGAAACTACAGCAATCTCAAACTTCAAAGATTGACCACCCTATCCCATCGTGTACCTCTCCTTTTCAGACCCAAAAGGAAACCCTCACTAGCGAGCGATGATCACCAACCAAAGGATGGAGATGGAGATATCGATGGGGAGGGGGGAGGAAGATCCAAAGGAAGCACCACACCCGTATCCAATCGAGAGAATCAGAAGCATGTCCGATCATCCCATCCTGTAGGAAAGGAGAATGGCAGCGGCGGGGGGGGGAAAGAAAAAAACGAAAATCATTGAGAAAAATTCTAGTCTAGCATTAATGCACTAGTTACCACCTGACTCTGACTCGGTCAGTCAGCTGATCCGGTCATCTTCGCTTTTTGCTAGTGCTTTCTGGTCATACCCCATCTCAGTCCATTCTTCGACGTCAGTCAGTGATTTGTGCTCACGCACAAGTGTCTAGCACTTGTTCATTCTATCTACTTCGTACAGCTTCGCCGGTATGGATGAGGGGAGGGGTCAGGGTCATGCATTGTGACGCAGGTGTGTGTGTCTTATCAGCCTAACGGTGAGAAGGGTCATCCTTAACCCTGTTTCTTCGGATCCGGGAGCTAACAACGTGCAATGGGTGGCGCTTGAGCAGTGACATCCGGTCTAGTGGACTTCATCCTGGAATTTCCGACTTCGCGCTGCATGGTCGAAGCCTATCCTGCATCCCGCACGGCGTACGCTATCCAACCAACTCATAGCCTATGCAGGTCCTCTCCGCTGGTCGAAAATACCAGAAACATGGCCAGTCACAGTCGTAGCCGGGACCTTCGTGCTGGGACGGCGAATTTTATTGGCTTCGAAAACTAGCCAGGGAATGATTGGATTGTCTATGGGTCGTTGCCAGAAATAGGATCGGTAGCAACACCAGATGGTCATCCCGGTTTTGGTAGCATGTCTCACTCAACCCGCCACGGCTGCTGCAAGCCTGTGGGACTTGACCGAGCTTTCATTCAGTGCTATCTATTCGGAGATGACTACCAGAAAGCAGGACAGTCCCTGAAATGAGAAATCTCTTTCGTTCGCCCACGGGAATAATATCAGAATATTTCGGCGCTCTCCTCCACAGACCGACTATAGCAGAGGGGAAACAGTGCCCCCCAAAATCGATACATGCCCCAGTGATTCTCCTTTTCTGAAACTAGTCTTCGAGCAAATGTGCATTCCGTCCGAAAAGCGTTCGTACTGCGCAGGTGGACAATCTGCTGACATCTGAGCTGGGTCTCTGCTAAATCCCGACGGGTTGACCACTCACCTCGTCGTATCTCTGTAGAGCCGAGTAGTACTGCACCGAGAGCCCAAAATTCTTTCTCAGTATCGGCTTTCTGATCCTCCTCGCAGCCGTGGCCAAGATGCGTGACTGTCTCTCGCGGCTCAAATGGATGTGATCACCGACAGCGACTCCTCCTGGTAACTTCCAATTTTGTCGCTCGTAGACAACTTCAACCAGCCGGGTAAGCGTGTCAGCCTGCCATGTGGTCAAGAGCTCATTATGAAACGCCCTAACGTGGCGTTGGAGCTTCGACAAATCGGTTTTGAGTCGGAATACATTGGAGCGTAGCGTGCTCATCTTATGGTCCAGGTTCTGATTGCTGACCTGCAACGACTCAAGAGCCGAGGTGTATCTCTGGGTAGATATCAGCATTGGTGCCTGCAGATACAAGTATACCCTGCTGCCTGTTTGGTGAATGTTGTGGAGCTGACACACCGATAGTGAGGACAATTTAGTCTTTCCTACTATGCCATTCTCTTTCGCAGACGACAACTGAATCTGCGACCGATAAAAGGACATCCCAGGTCCATATAAGGTGAAAATGTCGACATCCATTTCGCCGGATCGAGTATGATGCGCTATCTAAACAAACAATGAGAGTTCAGCTATCCTTGAATTTTAAGCGATAAACTTGCTGGTGGCCTGAAAGCTAGGGAGTGTTGATAATGAAGCCCAGAGGCTTTGGAGTCGATTCAGGGGGGTTGTGACATGGAGGCAAACGGATTACCTGGCACAGGGAAGGTGCGACTACACACTCAGGCTGCTCTGGAAAGTACCGCTTCATCGTGTCTACTACGTTCCTCATAATAAACACAGTGACAGAAGAAGGCTAACATCTGGCAATGATATTTACTTCACAGTTTGCTTCCAGAGGTCTTCCCGAACTCAATCACCAGCTTCCCGAATTGCTTCCCTTCCTTCATATCCTCAAAGATTCCATCGATGGCAGGGATATCCTCCAGATCAGTCTGCAGAATGCGTGAGATGACTGGATGGATCTTGTGCGTCTTGATGAACTCGACCATCTCCTTGAACTCCTTGCGCGAGCCCATCGTACAGCCCCGGACATCAATATTCTTCAGAACAGCCTTCATGGAGAACGGCATCTGCGGCGCGACCGTCATCCCATATACACAGAGAGCACCACCAGGCTATTCCAGTCAGATATTCCAGACGTACTCAGATAGCGAGAGGGGGGAGGTCTACTCACCTTAAGCAACTTGACAGCCTTGTCCACCGAATCCCCTCCTGCCCCGTCAATAATTGCATCGAAAGCCACTTTCCCTGTAGGCAACAACTCCAATAACTTCTGCTCCCACTTCTCTTGCTTGTAATTCACACCTCCCTTAGCCCCAAGCTCAATTGCTTTCCGGATCTTCTCCTCACTCGAGCTCGTCACATAAACATCCACGCCCCTAGCCACCGCCAGCTTGAGCGCCATCAATGCCACGCCACCTCCAATACCAGTCACCAGGACTGCAGCTCCCTTACTCGAGTTTCTCTCTCCAGCCTTGACCACCAGCGCTCTCCACGCTGTCAAGCCGGTAAGCGGAAACGACGCAGCCTCTGCATCCGACAAATGCTCCGGCACCTCTTCTAACTCCCCTTCATCGATGGCGAGATACTCCTGCATCGTCCCCTTGTTGTACGATTTCGTCCCGCCCATGATCCTGTACCCTTTCGGATCTTCCGGTCCATCCAGAGACTCCTTCCACCCTACTCCGGGGTTAATGACCACCCGCTTCCCGATCCAACGTTGCGGATCGCGCACTCCTTCACCGGCGGCTATCACGGTTCCTGTACCGTCGGCACCCATGGGAACGTCAAAGGTGACGCCCGGATAGAGATGTTGACGGAGGAACACATCGCGGTGGTTTAGCGATGTAGCTGTGAGCTTCACTAAAACCTCGCGGCCTTGAGGTACAGGCTGGGGAAGGGTCTTCACAGCGAGGGGGTAGTAGACTTGACCCGGCTTTCCGGGTTTACCATCGACGGGGTTGAGAAAGATGGCTTTTGACATGCTGCAGTGGATCTTTGGGATAGGTACTATATATTATGTGCTGTGGGTATCAAAATGGGTTTTTTGTAATGTGAATATATGTAGAGTGAAACTAGGAAAAGATGGAGCATGCATGCACTTATCGGTTCGGTTCGGCGTGCGGGGATGAGGTGAGCTGTTTAGGCCGTTATCGGTTGCCGAGGATGTGCGTCGGGAGGAGACAAAGTTGCTTGCGGTGAAGATCTACGCAGCATATGATATTGACCCGACTAATTTCTAGAACAGGAACACTTAAGTTTGTGTTAAACTTTGTTGCTTCTCACATAGTACAACTCAATTGTTACTTGCAATTAACATTCGAAACCTATTAACAGTAATAGTGGTACATGTTTGAGCCTCGGCTGAGAGAGCTGAACTATCATATTGAACATTGATTATAATATATATCTGCGACCAACTAACTAATCCCAACACATCAATAATAACATTCAAAGGGAAGAAATAAGAGTGATCCTCATTATAAATGGCAATATACACCACCACGATTTGCACCTGTCACGAAATAAAACCAAATTCAAGCCAGTTGGGATTGCCACCCCTACCTCAGATGATGCCATAATCCTGTTCCACTATACTATACAACTCTAGCATGGTAGCTTACCGGCAATTTTTTTTGTGCAGTTATTATTACAACTTGACTTTGAAAGTGCATCCACATCAACGGAATACGCTGTAATTGGGCTATAGTACAGTCTGAGACTACAGTATGAGGTAATGTATACTGTTGTGTCTCCTTTTAAGCAAGATAGAGAGGGGGCTGAGCCATTGGCCATATTATAGATTGGCTCTAGGAGTGAAGGAGAATCACTTATTTCTAAGATGTCAGTAAAGCGGGAAAGACAAACTAGCTATGAAAGACAGATGGCATTGCAGATGGCCTGCTGTCTGAGAGCTGCTGTTGCCTTGCTAGATCCCGATTTTTAGACCGAGCGGAAAGGAGGATCGAGAGTCTGTTCTGAAATAACTATTCCCAGAAACATATCAACTGAATTGATTGCAGCCCCTTTGGGATTGTGGAAACGGTGATGAGCTCGAGGTGTGTCTGTGTATCTTGCCAAGGCGTACTGTTGTGGGATATAGTGGATGTTGTCTTGTTAAGGTCTGTCCATAGCAGCTATGTCATGAATATATATGGATGTTTCTGAAGCTTTTTCGTTGACCTCGACGCAAATTGATGCTAAGGAGTAGGCTAATTGTACAATACTATTATATTAGATGGGTCTTGAAACGGTGCGGTTTTGGTTCGCCGATCTTATTGGGTTCTGTTTGCAATTATGCGATTCTGACCGCTGCCATTAGAAGTTATGATATTGATCTGCGAGAGTACCGTAAATGGCAGTTGACAGATCAGCATTCTGTCTGGAGGAATGGTGAACTGCGGGAGATTGTTCGCGTTCGTCTGGAATGCACAGCGGCTCTATCCCTACACAGTATGTGTTCGCGCGATTGCAGTCCACATGAGCTCTGGTCTGATTATCCTCAATGTTGATAATGAAGGCGTCTTTGATTGAGCATAGAACTGTCAATAAAATGTATATTGGCAGTGGATGACACGAGAACAGAAACAAACCACAGGCATCATCCATGTAGATTTTGAATGAAAGGTCGTACGAGAAGCCGATGGCCGTACAAACATGTCTATCCCCAGAACTGCAGGCAAACCGGATTGTTGCAGATCGAGGATTGTGGTGTTGTGTTGTACTGACTGTTGATGATTGCTTGTTAAGTAAAGCTGCGATGGGATACGTGCCTCAGGCCGCAGAGTGGAGGTTGGGGCACGGTACGGATGGAAGTCACTGGCAAGTCACTGGCCACCTAATTTAGTATGTGGGTGTACCTGGCATGTACTTTGGCCGTATGGTATGTATGGGGCTGGTACGGAAGGTTGTTTTTCAGAGTGACGACACTGACTTCTCCCACACAATTCATTGATGATGCCTTACATTATGCAGTGCTGAATTACCTGCTTAGCTTTGAATAGTATATGTACAATGAAAAGGTAGAAGGCAGGGAGTTGGAAGCTGGCTAACCACAATACTATGTAAATAGCCCGACCCTCAAAAAATTTTGACATTCTAAAAATACCCGGGGGAGAGCTTCCTCTCCATCCCAGTGGGATTTCTCTGACGTTGAGTTGAAGCGACACGTCGAGAGAAACCACAGCGTTTGCGGCCAAACCACCAGTGACGGTGTCTGCGTGGCAGTAACCCGTCGTAGGTTTGTCTGGGGATATTATGGCCACGCACTGTCCCGGAAATGCACCATCAAACTCCAGGTTTGGGGGAATCTTGGGATAACTGGAGATATGTAGTCGGGTCAAATCTGACCTGTCACCTGTAGATTGAAATTAATTGCGATGGGCAGCTTGCACCACATGTAAGGCTGAGGATGAGCTATCTATCTATACCCGACCTTCCCTGGAAGCTGTCCAGCGAAGAAAAAAAAGAACAGAAACCAGACCACCAATTTGTGCGGCAGTTTCACAACCAGTGTGGGCTGAGGTAATAATAATAATAAACCAATTGCGGTCGCACAAGGCGATCTGGCGGTACGACCAAAAGCGCGAAAACGAAGTAAAAAAACAGAAAAAACAACGAAAACAGTCACTTCGTCACGTCCGTCACGACCGGTACGGTGGTAATTCCACGGCCACCAGCTAATTCGCCGCAAGCCTCTTCATTTTTCTTGACCTGCCAGGAACTCTCAATCCTTTCGATCTTCTGATCTCGACTCTGGATCGTCTAGCGTTCTTGTTTTCGACCTCGACTCTCAATCCGCCCCCGGCTTCTTTCCAGATCTCTATCCCAAAGACACAAAGGTGTGTTCTTTTGCTTCCCCCCAATCGTCTTACTGTCCTCCTCCACCTTGCTGTCTGCCTCTCTCCCCCTCGCTGATCCGTTCTCCTCACCAGCTCTACGGACTGCTGCTTGTCTCCAACCCACCCTTCCACATCTTCCCCCAGAAAAAACGTTCGCATCGCTCCTTTTTGTTTTCACAATTCACGGTATTAACTTAAACCTTTCTTCTAGATTCTCGTCTCCCCGAACTTCTCTCTTTTCCCCAACTGGACCGGCATTCTTATCGTCCGTCGCCCAGCTACCGACCTTCATAATGCCCACGCCACTTCCGTCTAGTTTTGCCTCGGCCGCCGCTGGCAACACCCACGACTCTTCGAACAGGAGAGGGGATGGCTCTGCCGGTGGAGAATGGTACGCAATGCTCTTCTAACTGGTTCTATGCGGTCTACCCGCTGCTTTGGCCGCCGTCCTAGTCCCTCCCGGCGGTTTTGCGTGGCGGAGTTGAACTGACAACTCATCCTCAACCGGGGACATGCAGGTCTCGAACTCGCATGAATGGAGCAACACAGACTTTCCGCCGTCCGTCCGTTGCGACAAACCCTTCTCACAACCGGGATGCCAGCCAACCCACGTCGGCTACCACTCCCACCGTGGGCACCTACACTCCTCCGCATATGTCCTCGACCTACCAGTCCAGCGCACTCCGCAACGGAGCAGCTACCGACACGCGTTATTCAAAGGATCAGCTACTTAGTCTCTACAAAACCCAACGAGAGTCGGGCGTACTGGGGAAGAATGTTGCAGATTACTTCGTAGCTGACTGGAATCCCCACGAGACGTCACCTGTCAACGGCGCTTGGGGGAAACGGGAAGATTCGAAGGATAACCCCTCCGGCCCGGAAGTGTGCTGGGATCATGGGGGCCAGGTCGAGCCGTTGGGCCTGGTAGATATGACGGACGATGAGAAAGAGGTTTGTCTCTTTGCTTACCCCGCCTTGCTTGCTGCTTGAGCGTGTTTCTGCTTTAAAATTTTTTCCGGGAGCCGTGCTGAAGGAGCGCAGTTATTTACTCTCTCCGTCAACTCCCCTCTTAAGCCGCCACCGACGAACGCTTCGAAGGAGAACACTGGCGCCGGTACTGGTGGACGCAAGCTGTCCATCTCCCAAGGCCATATGAATAATTACAACACCGCATCCCCCAGTGCTGGGCGCCCCGGCCCCAGACGCCGGGAGACGGGCGACTCGACTGGGAATCCCATGTCTCCCACCACCAGCGGCTCTCGCTTTTTCCGTGACGAACCGAACACCTCCACCCCGCCCCCCTCCCTTTTGCGCCGCAAGACCGATTTCCGAGATACCTCTTCCGCCGCCCGATGGGAGGAGAAGGAGAAGGAGAACGTCGCTCGAGATGCAAACGCCGAGACTGCCTCTCCATTTGGTTCCCTGAAGCGGAGTTCGACCAATCCTTTGAGCGCGGCACCGGGCGCCTCGAATTCCCCTTGGGGATCTGCGTCGCAAAGTGCCAACTTTTCGCCCATGGGAGCGTTTGGTGCATTTTCTCTGGGCACAGCGACTACCCCGACAACCGAAAAGAAGGCTGGGTTTGGTAGTCTCCGCGGAGAGAGCCGTTTGAAGGGGCTGTTTTCGAAGGATAGCTCTGAGGACATTTCGGCCACTATCAAGGAGAAGTCGTCCCTTAGTAGCTTGGAACGCTTGGGTGATACGGAGGGTGAGAAGCGTGCTCAGTCGCCTTGGGGAGAACCCGTCAAGACGCGTACTGGCCGCAGCGAGACGAACCCCTTCTCGGAGGAGCCTCGCAGCGGAAGTGCCGCTCTTGGCGGGTCCCAGGAGATCAACACTCCTTCTCAACCTGCGGACCAGCTGGGATTCTCGGTTTTTGGGATGACCTCTAGCATCCCTGGATTCCGGGAATTGATGCAAAGCCATGAGAACTCGCGCAACCCTACTCCAAGTCTGTTGCAGGGACATGAACCCACCAGCCCCACTAATACGAACCCATATCAGAGCCCCCACGGCGACCGAAGTGGTGGTGGTGGTGGTGGCGGCGGCGGCGACGATGACGTGGAGACTGATGGTTCCGATATTCAGAACTCCACGCATCCCGGCATCACTGGCCTTCGTGATACCTCGTCCGCGTTTGGCTCTATCCGACGGGTAGGATCGGGCATCGACTTGCCTTCAATCGATCGAAGCCAAACGTCCAGTGCCGCTGGAAACCGCAGCTTCTCCAGCCTCGGTGGGTTGGGAGGTCTGTCGTCGTTGGGTGGTCCGGCCGGATGGCCCACCAGCGCTGCCGTGGGTACTCCTACGCGGGAACGCTCGGCCTTCGCTGGTGGATTCGGCGATCCTATCTTCGGCACGATGGGTGATTTGCAGTCCCCAAGCCTGTCGACTTTGGGCGGTGGTGGTTTGTTCAGCCCCCATGCCGGCATCTCTGGCACGGGCAGTCTGGGCCGCTCCAGCAAGTTAGGTTCTCTGTTCCCGGCCGCCATGCAGGAGCAAATGCAAGGTGACCAGGGACGTTCGGATCTGGCCGCTCTGGAGGAGGCCGCTCGCCAACCCGGTAAGAATATCGACATGTCTGAGTATGAGCAGGTCCTAATGCAACAATTAGACGCCCAGCAGGACAAGCCGGGCCAGCCTGGCCAGCCCGCAACCACCTCAGCTTCGCAAACCCCTGTCTCTGCGGTGGGCTCTATTCCTACGTCGATGGCGCCCGATGTACCCCCAACCAGCCAGACGCCTGGTCAGGCTGGAGCTGCTGGCTCTGTGCCTCCTGCCCAACAGCGGACCATGGTGATGCCGGATCGGATGCGTTGGATCTACCGCGATCCGCAGGGCAACATCCAGGGTCCTTGGACTGGACTGGAGATGCACGACTGGTTCAAGGCAGGCTTCTTTAGTCCTGACCTGCAGATCAAGAAGCTCGAGGACCCCGAGTTCGAACCCCTTGCACAGCTTGTGCGACGCATCGGCAACTCGCGCGAACCCTTCCTGGTGCCTCAGATCGGCATTCCCCACGGTCCCGACCCCAGCCCTGGTCCCTGGACTGGGAACACTACCGGCACGGCTCAGCCTCCGTTCCCCGGCAGTTTCCCCAGCTTTGGTACCACTTTGACCGCGGAGCAGCAGAATGCGTTGGAACGCCGGAAGCAGGAGGAGCAGTATTTGATGGCACGTCAGAAGGAACACCTCGCTCAGCAGCAAGCGCTGATGAAGCAAATGCAGTTTCAGGGTGTCCCCCACACGATGCACCCGCACCAGCTGCAGCATCACTCCAGTGCCCACAGCCTCCACAGCCAGCCCAGTTTTGGCAGCATCGCCTCGCCAGTTGGCTTCCAACCCTCTCCGATTCAAGCTCCGATGCAGCAACCCCAGTCTGTTGCAGGCTTCTTCGACGCTGCCGGACCGGTGAGAGCCAACCCGCTGCCCAACATCGGTCCCCAGATGCTCGGCACTGAACTGGGCACCCCCCAGGATCAGCTCCCCGCCCTCCTCGACCGCTTGAACGTGAACCGTCCCGACCCTTTCGCTTTCGGCACCCCCGGCTCTTTTGCGGCTCGTCAGCCTGACAGTCTCTTTCATCAGCAACAGGTTGCCAGCATGCTCCAGGACCGTGCTCGCTTGCAACAGGAGCAGGAGCAATTTGACAGCGCCCAGGGTGACAACCTCTTCGACCAGCAAGCACGGGAAGAACGCCTCCGCCAATTCCACGCTTTGAGAGCCCAGGAGGGTGAGCTGGGCCTCCGGACTGCCGAGGGTCTGCCCACGCACCCGGCCACGGTCCCCCAGCCGTCTGAGCCTGAGGAGGTCGAGCCGGTGGCTGAGGCTGAGGAGCCTACACTGACGTTGTCGCAGCAGGTGCAAAAGGCCGCGTCTGCTCAGCGCAAGCAGCAGGAACAGCTGGAGCAACAAGAACAGCTTGAGCGCGAGCAGCAGGAACAGCAAACTTCCGATGCGGGTGAGGCGGCCTGGACTACCAAAGACAGTGCCATGCCCCAGCCCTTCCCTCCCCCGCCCTCTGCCTCGCCGCTCCCGGCCCCGGCTGCTCAGCGCAACCGTCAGAATGTTGCTGAGTCTCTGGCTGCCAACTCGCGTTCCCAGACCCAGACTCCCGTGGAGGCGCCGACCACTTCGATCGCGCCTTGGGCAAAGGAAGCTAATGAAGTGCCTAAGGGTCCTTCTCTGAAGGAGATCCAGGAGGCCGAGGCCCGCAGCGCTGCGCAGAAGGAAGAGTTGGCGGCTGCTGCACGCCGTGCCCAGCTGCTGGCCGAGCAGGAGCGTCTCAGCCAAGTCCAGGCCCAGGCCCCTGGCCTCCCGTCGACGGCTAATTGGGCCAGCGCTGGTTCTCCTGCTACTCCTACATCTTCAGGCTCAGTTTGGAACAACAAGGGTCAGGCCGCTCCTTCTGGCGCCGCTAAGAAGACTCTGGCCCAGATCCAGAAGGAAGAGGAGGCACGTAAGCAGCGTCTGGCCGCTGCCGCCGCTGCTGCTCAGAGTGCGGCTGCCAGCCCACCGACTGCTCCGTCTTCGACCGGAAAGCGCTATGCGGATCTTGCCAGCAAGGCTCCAGCGGCGTCTCCGGTCCCTGCCAGCGCCAGCACGTCGGGTGCCTGGACGACTGTTGGAGCGGGCGGCAAGCCCAAGCCCCCTCCGGCTGCTCCCGCCGGGCCTCGCTCGACCAGCAGCGCAACTCCGGTGGCAGTTTCTCCCGTGAAGCCGAAGCCGGCGACTGTCGCGACTCCCCGTACGGTTGCTGTCGCTTCGCCTCCGGCCAACCCTAACCGCGCCGTGGAGGAGTTCACCAAGTGGGCCAAGCTTGCTTTGGGCAAGGGGCTGAACAGCAACATCAATGGTAAGTCGCAGAAAATGGTGGAAAATGCTCATAGCTAATGCGATATAGTGGACGATTTTGTACAGCAGTTGCTTTTCCTGCCTGCGGAGGCGGAGATCATCTCGGACTCCGTGTACGCCAACTCGCAGACGCTGGACGGCCGGCGGTTCGCGGAGGAGTTCATCCGGCGGCGTAAGCTGGCCGACAAGGGCATCGTGGACCCTGTGTCGGCTAGTGCCTTTGCGGAGAAGAACGCGGGCGGATGGAGCGAAGTAGCCAAGAAGGGATCTTCGAACGCGAATCGCGAGGAGGACAATGGAAACGCAGCGTTCAAGGTGGTTGCGCCCCGCAAGAAGGGCAAGCGGTGATGCAATGCAGGATGATTAGGGAGATGAGATGATTTGAGATGTTTGGATTTAGAAGCGGAGCCGCGCATTGGCTATTGTGTATGTCGAATGGATGATGTAGCATAACAGCGTTTCTGGCCGAGTCAGATTTAACTTAATCTGTCTTATCGGAGGGACGTAGATTAAGGTTATAACTGAAGTATGATTCTAATTATAACCATTCACTTACTTGATAGTTATTGTGACTCATGAGGGGTAACATACTCCTCTTTAAATAGTGCTTATCGTATCCCCGACCTTGCCCAGTATTCCCACTTCTCAATTCCCTCCCCTCTCTATCTACACCATCAATTACTACTAGTACCATCACCATGACCACCCCAATCCCCTACGGCGCCCCCATGCGCCAACACTTCTGCCTCGATCCCAACTGGAAGAACCTCAACCACGGCAAGTTCCATCTCATCCTATCCCATCCCATCCCCCCAATCCCCACCAACACCAATCCTAACAATAGACAATAACACAGGATCCTTCGGCACCTACCCCCTCCGGATCCAATCCGCCCTCCGCGCCCACCAATCCACCGCCGAATCCCACCCCGACCTCTTCATCCGACGCCTCTGCCCCTCCCAAGCCCAACACTCCCTGAACTTACTCTCCACCCTCCTCCACGCCCCTGCCACCTCCCTCGCCTTCGTCAAAAACGCCACGACGGGGGTCAACACCATCCTGCACAACATCCCCTTCACCTCCGATGATGTCATCATTTACTTCGACACCATCTACGGAGCGATCGAGTACGGCTTGCTTGCGCTGCAGGAACGTACTGGTGTGAAACTAAGGAAGGTGGAGTATACCCTACCTATTTCTCATGGGGAGATAGTGAGGAGGTTTAGGGATGTGGTGGAGCGGGTTAGGAATGAAGAGAACGGAGGAAAAGGGTTGAGGGTCAAGGCAGCGGTGTTTGATATGGTGGTTAGTGTTCCGGCGGTGCGGTTCCCGTTTGAGGCATTGGTGAGGGAGTGTAAAGAGTTGGGGGTGTTGAGTGTCGTTGATGGTGCGCATGGGGTGGGTATGTTAGACGTGGATTTGGGAACCCTGGGGGTCGATTTTTGGACGAGTAATTTGCATAAGTATGACCCCTTTACATCCCCCTTTCTCCTTCCCTTTGGGATGTGATGCTGATATGTGTTTGGTGTGTGTAGATGGCTCTACATCCCCCGCGGCTGCGCAGTGCTCTACGTCGCGCCGCAACACCAACATCTCATGCGCACGACATCCCCGACCTCCTGGGGGTATATTTCCCCCTCTGCGGCGGAGGAGGCACGCGTGAATGGGACTACTGCGGATGCGTTCAGGTATTTGTTTCAGCAGACGGCGACGAATGATGATACGCCTTATTTGTGTGTGCCGGAGGCGTTGAAGTTCCGGGACGAGGTGTGTGGTGGGGAGAAGGCCATCTATGGGTATTTGGAGAGGTTGGCGAATGAGGCGGCGGACCTTGTGGCGGGGATGTTGGGGACGGAGGTGTTGAGGGATGAGGAGGGGTTGTTGACGAGGTGTGCGATGACGAATGTGAGGTTGTTGGTTAGGGTTGGTGATGGTGGTGATGGTGGTGATGGTGAAGAGGGTGAAGGGGGGTGTGTGGTGGTGAAGAAGGAAGAGGCGGGGAAGGTGGCACTGTGGTTTCAGAACACGCTCCTGGATGAGTATAACACGTTTGTGCCCGTGTTTGAGTATAATGGGTGGTTGTGGATGAGGTTGTCGGCGCAGGTGTATCTGGATAAGAGTGATTTTGAGTGGTTGGGGGGGGGTGTTGAAAGAGTTGTGTGGGAGGGTGGGGAAAGAAGCTCTTCAGAAAAAGTAGATAGTTAGACTACTACGTAGATGGTTGGTTGAATGATGCTTAATGTCAAGGAATAAAAGAATTCATAGATATACAACTACGGACTGTATATGCATCTGGCAATAACCACAGGAAATAAGTTGCTGGCTCACTCGGTTGAACATGACTAAACCCAAATACACGGCTTCTACAGCTTATGTCTCGATCAGATCGGCCGTCTCGCCCTGGGTCTGCTCCGGAACCGTGTTGTCCCGGGTGTCCTTGTTGGCAATCTTGCGCGCCGACCGCGCATAGAACTCGTCCAGCACCCGCTTGGGGATACGGTTGAGCAGGTCCTTGGGGTAGATGCGCAGCAGGTTCCAGGCAATGTCCAGCGACTCGAAGATGCTGCGCGACTCGTACGGCGACTGGCTGATGAAGGTGCGCTCGAACTTGTCGAGGAACTCCAGGGAGAGCTTGTCCTCGGAAGACAGAGCCTCCTCACCAACGACAGCTTTCATGGCGGCTGTTCTAAGTTAGTATGTGCTTATATTCTGGCATGGAGGGAACTGACCGGCATCACGTCCAATGGCGTACTTGGCGTACAGCTGGTTGGACACTTCAGAGTGATCCTTACGAGTACGTCCAGTACCAATGGCAGACTTCATCAGACGAGACAGGGAAGGAAGCACGTTAATCGGGGGGTAGACACCCTTGTTGTGCAGCTGACGGTCGATGAAGATCTGTCCCTCCGTAATGTAACCCGTCAGGTCGGGAATGGGGTGAGTGATATCTATACTTGTTAGCTCACGAACCAACCCTCTAGAAAGAAGTCATACCATCGTTGGGCATGGTCAGAATGGGAATCTGAGTAATGGATCCGTTACGGCCCTCCACACGTCCAGCACGCTCGTAGATGGTCGACAAATCAGTGTACATGTAACCGGGGTAACCACGACGACCCGGCACTTCTTCACGGGCAGCAGACACCTCACGAAGGGCATCACAGTAGGCGGACAGATCAGTCATGATGACCAGGACGTGCTTCTCCAGCTGGTAGGCGTAGTACTCGGCGGTCGTCAAGGCAAGACGGGGGGTGATGATACGTTCGATCCTGGCAAAGTCAGCTATTGCGTCTATCCAAAAGGCGTAGCACATACGTAGGGTCGTTGGCCAAGTTCAGGAACAGCGTGACACGCTCCATACTGCCGTTCTCCTCAAAGTCGCGAGTGAAGAAACGGGCCGTTTCCATGTTCACACCCATGGCAGCGAAGACGATAGAAAAGTTCTCCTCGTGTCCGTCGTGGACGTCCTTAGTAGGGCGCTTCACCAGACCAGCCTGACGACAGATCTGAGCGGCAATTTCGTTGTGAGGGAGACCGGCAGCAGAGAAGATGGGGATCTTCTGTCCACGAGCAATGGAGTTCATGGTATCGATGGCAGAGATACCGGTGGAGATCATCTCTTCAGGGTACACCTGATCTTATCAGCACAGCCATATCCAGCCCAATCATCATATACATACACGAGAGTAGGGGTTAATAGGTTGACCGTTGATATCCAGGTAATCCTCCGCCAGGACCTTGGGGCCCTTGTCGATTGCGCGACCGGAACCGTCGAAGACACGACCCAGCATGTCTTCGGACACACCCAGCTTCAAGCTGTGACCGGTGAACTCGACTTTCGTCTGGCAAGGTCAGCTGGCGATCCCTAAGTGGTAAAGTTCTGGATCCATACCCTCTTGACATCGATACCCGGAGTTCCTTCAAAGACCTAGTATGATCGCATCCCGTTAATGCTCCGCATGATAAGCCATATCACTAGCACGCCACAGCTGCTATATGTTTCGTACCTGAACGACTGCCCTGTTTCCTGTACCAGAAATATCATATTAGCTATCTGAGCGTAACCGCTGTCGCATGCGATGTTGGACATACCGCGAGCTTCGAGGACCTGACCCGACCGCTCGGTTCCATCGGGGAGAGTGAGGGACACGATTTCGTTGTAACGGGGGAATTTGACCTATAGGGTATCTTGGTAAGCTGGCTATATGTATACAGGCTGACCCGTTGTTGGGAGCAGCGGCGCAACAATGCAGGTTGACGTACGTTATCAAGAACGACCAGTGGGCCGTTGATACCTCCGATGGTGTTGTAACGGATGCGAGGCTTGACGCTCGTCATCCTGGGATCAACAAAGTCGGCCATGGTGAGAGATGCAGCAGCAGCAGAAGCAGCAGGTGCGCACAGAAGGAGACCGAAAGACGGGGGAGGGAAGTTGAGGGGAGAGACAGCAGCAGCAGCTCCTTAGTCGAGGCCGAGTGTCGACGTATGCTTTGGCTGCTCCACGCCGCCGCACGGGCGGTGACCAGCCGGAGACCAGCCACGTGATGCTACACTAGAGTAGTAGTCTACCTCCTGCCGAGCTAGATACAAAGCATCATCAACCCTGATGCAGGTGGCTTTTACTACAATATAGATCTATTTAGTTATTTATTCTGGTATAAGTATGGGGATATGTTATTACAGCTATACTCATCATGCAATACTCTTTGACTGACCTGGTATGGAGACACCGAGTCGGGACAGCTTAAGATCAACTCTATATCAACATAAGTTTGCTCCTTTCTCCTCTCATATTGAAAGTATCAGACAGTCCGATCATAGATTGGTGTCTCCGATCCTAAGTTGTAAGCGATGACATGCACAGCTGTTGATAGCCTGCATCCTACCCCATACTGTTTCTCCAACGTCCACCGTCTGGCCTGTTCCTTATCTTATCGCCTGTGCTGCCGTTGGATTATATAAGCACATACACCAGCCAATCTGACGTGGCACTGATGCAGTATCCGTATGTATCATTCAGAATATCATTGTCGTAATATTCATAACAAGAATACATAGTATCTGTAAAATTTTGAAATCTAATTAATATCTGATCTACAATAACAGTAAGTGTGTATTGTCTTAAATGCAAGTCAAGGAACAATTCCGAGCCCATTCCGAGCCAGTCTTTAAAAGCCACCGGAAGAACAGATGATCCCGGGCTAAGTTTGACAGTTTTGATTGAATTATCGCCCGCCGATTTGACTCACCAGGAACAGTTTATACCCCGCCTCCGAGATTCAACCCCTCTCCTTTCACATACCTTTCAATCCTCACAAAACCATGGCCAACTTGAGCGCGGACGAGAG